TTCAAAAGGTGGGGAGTTAGTGAGTCCCACACTCCTGAACTGTGAAGTAGATTTAGCAACTATTTTAATGATTAGAATGTGGTAGATCTAACAGTGCATGACTTCAAAAACCTGGTCATAAAACACAGTGAAGTTTCCTCCTTTCCTCTTGGATTTCTTTTTTGAGGGGAACTCAGCAGCCATATTGTGAAGAAACTCAGTAGGTCCTGTGGAAAAATCCATGTAGTGAAGAATCAAATCAAGGCCTCTGCCATCAGCCAGCACGAACATGTCAGCCATGTGAGTGAGCCACTTTGGAATAGAATCTGTCAGTCCCAGTAAAAGGACTGAAACTCTAGCTAATATCTTGACTGAAACCTCACGAGTAAACACTGAGCTAAAACCACACAGCTAAGCTGATCTCAAATATCTGACCAACAGAATTGTGTGGGATGATTAAAGTTATTTTTAAGACACTAAATTCTGGGATGTTGATAGAAATTGAGACTCTTATCATGAGATACTTAATCCAGATCTTCTGATAAAAAAATAGAGATTTTGATAAGCAGAAATGAATAAAATAATTAGAAAAAGCAAACATTAAACAGGTAATTAGTGATAAGCAGTTCATACCTTGCAGCAGAGAATGGCTAGCTATTCACTAAACCCATTTCTTCTGTTTCCTGGTTATAATGTTATAATGCTGTTTCCAGGACTCCTTTGTAGTTCAATGTGACAATAATATTGAGTGGTAACCAACTGGATGTGAAAATTTCCTACAAAATATTCCATGCTCTTTATCTGTCTGCTAGATAGATATTGACAACCAGAGTGACCTTGAAAGCCACATGTTGATGAAATCAACCCAAATTTCTGAATAATTGTGGGACAGACAGCTCGCTAACCAGTGATTGAGGATTTACCATCATTAACGTGGCTTCTAAGTTCTTATATAGCTTCTTCACCCATCTACCAGATTAGAGAGAAAAGTGAATGAAGTCATGCTGGTTTCTTAACCCAGTTCGGCCAGGAAGGTGCACACATCACTGTTTACATTTCATTGGTACAGAAAAGTCATTTGGATCCATGACTTTTATCATCCATTAAATAAAATGATCTGGTAATCCAGCCCTGGGTTAGGCTGCTGCTCTCCATCAACAACTCTACAGAGAAGATGGGACATGGATTTCTGGTGGATCTTCCCTGGTCTATCCATTCTTACACAAGGAGTAGACTCAACCCCCAAGGAGGATGACTCAAAGATACATCCAGATAATGCTTTCAATTACAAATACAAGACCTCCGAAATATATCCATGCATTTGCAATGTTTCTTCTTGTAACCTGGAAAACTGTAAACAATAACAACAACATAGTTATATTTCATGTAAAATATACATTGATGGAACAGGGATTTGGTGGCCACAAGAAACCTGGTGCCAGTAATTACTGGTCTATAAAAATGCTAAGACTTTGCCAGGCAGGCATTATTAGTCCTTCTACCTAGAAGTGAGGTAAATTCCTCAATTAGGCCCTATTCTGCATTTAGGAAGGCACTCTTTTGTCCATGTTCTCTGAACCCTGCCTCCCCACAGGACCATTTAAGCCTCTAGAATAATCATCCTTGTCTTTTATTCCCTATGGACACATCTAAAATGGATATTCAGGAGCACGACTTCTTTGGGGGCTGTACAAAATTTTCAGACTGCTTTCTACTAGTATAAATTTTGAAGTTTATGGTGGGTTTTGTTTTGTTTTGTTTTGAAGGGCTCAAATAGTCAAAGGCTCACAACTTCTTTGGCAATGAACTTCCCTAAGAAACTGGCTTTTGCACCCTTGTTTTCCATTAGTTCCATGTGTCAATAACCAGGTTTAAATTTTCCCACTTCTATCCTGAATTCCTTTGCTTCCTGACCCCTGCGTGGCACCTCTTAGATTAGTGCTCATTTGAGTTATCCAAAACAGCTATCTTTAGGATGATTTTTGATATCTGGCTTCAAATTTTTCTCAGCCTCATCTCTCAACTGTTTAGGGTCCAGCACCTGTCTTTTCCCAGCTGTGTTTCATCTATTAGCAACCAGGACATTCTTTCCTGAGCTCATCATTTGTGTAAGGTATAGCTCAAGGTAGATCCTGGCTCCACCCTTTTCTTGATCTGGTACTCTGGTTTCTCTGTATGGATCCACTTGGCAGCAGAGGGCATTGCTGAATATGCCATTTAATTATAAAATGAGTTCGATTTTTAGCAATTGTTCTTGATGTCATTTTGGATTCCAGAGCAGTTTTTGCTAATTTGGCAGAATATGGGCAAGGTTAAACAAAATTCAAAGATAAACTCAATTTAAGGATGTGAACTCTACCGTCTGCATAAATGGAAGATGAATCATCTTTTGCCAGAGTGATCACTAAATAAAATCTGTGTTTTAACACTATAAGTGTAAAAGGGGAGGAAAAGGAGAAGAACTATTATTTTAATCAAACAAAAGGACTTTGTTGGAATTTTCTATGTTAAAAGCTCTTCCCATCCAAAATATAACTGAGCATGTTAATGACTAGAACTATGATAAATCAAGGTCTGGAGGATTATGGTACAAATTATATGTACACTGTATTCCACAATTAAGCAAAAGACAGTTTTCCACATTGTTTTCTGTCCTATAAAGGCAAATGTAAATTTCTTTCTTGGAGGGATTTGTCCATGATGGTGGAATTACAGGATATGCAACATGATGATGAGGATAAAGAAGATGATTATAATAATGACAAAGAAGGAAGGGGAGAGAGGAAGGCACAGAAAAGGAGAGGGAGGAAAGGGAAAAGGAGGAGGACAGAAGGAAAGGAAGAATAAGTAAGATGGGAAAGCAGAATGGGAGGAGGATGGTCATGAATAACTACTTATAATGTCCCAAATCTGATTTTGGTCAAGCAGTAATCAACATGGACTGACGATCCCAAGTACATTCTAAACCCACAATTCTGCCATTACAAAGCATCCCACAGAGATAATGGTAGCTCTACTGATGGAACATTAGATGGGATTCTGTCTCAGGCTTCCTGTCATTTTTATTTCTTAAGTTTCTTCAGCATTCTGCAATACAGACGGTATTATCCTTGTGTTATGGATGAAGACACTGTGGCTCAGATTGAGCATTCAAACTTGGGAGTCATTGGTTTTCCTGGTTCTGAAGCCTTTTTGGTGCCTTGTACTATAAAGATTCTGCAAGACACCATGCATGAAAGCAGAATGTCTGGCAGATAGTATGGCTTTCTCTCCCCTCCTGGACTCTTGATGGAGACTCCCTAAGTTTCCCATACACCACATATACTGTGCACATAAGAAGAAAAACTATACTTTCTTTCAAGATCCAAGATGAATCCAAGATCTATCAGTATAGGCTTACCTCAGTAATGGCAGAAAATGAGATGGCTGGAAGGTTTTATAGTTTGAATTTGGTTTCATATTTTGAGAAAACACCATACTATCTAAAATTGAAATTCAGTATGATTATAGAAAGGTTTTCTTATTTCTCAAATCACATGACTGTTATCAATTTTGTAAAACATAAATACAAAATAAAATAGCCAATATAAATTAATTTTCATAAAAAGATAATACTCCCTCAATTTTGAATAAATGTGGGTTTTCAATAAGAGAGTCCTAGGCTTTCTTTATCCACTGCTTTAGTTATATACCTTTGGGCAGTCATGTAATATTTGTCAGCTTCAAACTTTTACTGTTAGCATGCAGATTATACACTTGCTTTTCATGAATGTGTTGAGAATTAAATGAGGCAAGGTATAAATGGAAAAATACATATTAAGGACTAAAAAAATAAGTACTTCCTCTTGTCCCTGAGCTAAAAGCATAGGTGTTAGCTCAATCTCCTATTTTTTTGTGATTAAAACTATATAATAAGATCATATCAGTAATCTTAAGGTGAGTTGTGATCATTTCTCTATTTTAAATGAAGAACTAGGAAATTATGCCTTTCTTGTAAAAATGGTTAGAAGTGTTTTGCCCCCAGTATAAAATTATTACATTGATCAAGTACTCATTATAGAACATAAGGATAAGATGCTTGAACAAAACAAAGACCTTAGAAATTATGGTAGTCATTAAGTGTCATCTGGCAAACAGTTCCAACTTCCGATTTCACGACACATGTCTTGCATGGGGCTATCTAATTTGTCTTGGCTACTTAATTTTGAGTCAGTGCAGTGCCTGTTTGAGATTTTTCAGATTCTCTTCTCCTTGTAGCTTAGCAACCAGCAACAATTTTAAAAGTTACTTGGTCCTGAAAGCATTCTTATTGACCTATAAGAGTCATATAGGAACAGCATGAAATTATTATTTCACTTGAATTATCAGAGATAGTTTTTTTTAGAAAAAAAAAAAACAAAGGACTTCAAGCCAAAACTATATAAAGACATAACTAGGTTTTCTTCCCTTGTAATATATAAGAATCTTGATTCAATTTTTGTTTTATAAGGTGGAACAATATATGAAGTCTCTCACTTCCAATTGTCTTTTTACAGAATTCTTGACTGTGACAGCACTTACACATAAGGATAAAATTCCACATAATAATATAAATTGTGTGCATTCCTCCAATAAAAATGGAGATCAAAATTGGATTAAGAGAAGAATAAGAGCATGGGCATACACTCATTCAATATTTGTTTCTCACCTAAAGGCATTCTAGATTTTTAGACAAGTGATTTCTTTAAAAGTACCTATTCACATATTTTTATCCATATCTTAGAATTCATACTCTATGTTCAGTACTGAATAATTTAGAGAAATCCAAACAGCTTTGACTGTATCATACATAAAAGCAATAAATACAAAAATAAGGCACATTTTACACTGTTTCATAATATGGTAGCAAAAAGAATGATAGGATAGAATTGAGGGTGTTAGTTTTAATGCTTTTCACACAGATAATTTCATACCTAATTTTAAAAAGACCAAATTTGCATCAGATTCAGATTTTAATAAAGGATAACCAACACAATAAAACATCTTAATAAATAGTTTTATTTTAAAATGACATGATGCACTTGCTATTAATATATAAAGCATCAGATGCCATAAGAAAAAGCTTAAAACCTTGATAATCGCTGCTTATAATATCAAAAAGCAAACAAGCAACACCAAATTATTTTTGTTTGGCAAGAGAATTAAAAACACAACAAGAACCACAGAGTAAAAACTCTAAATACAACCTAAAGGAATTACCCATCTTTGATTTCTTACATGACATTTGTTTGAAGCCTGGGTAGAAACCATAAAGGTGGCAGAGGGGGAAACAAGGCCGGCTGTTCCTAAAACAGGAGAGTTAGTAAAACTTGGAGCAAGGGAATATGCTGCCCATATTTCCCTGTAATAAAATCATAATTCATGTTAAAATAATTTTGAATATGCCACAGTTACATGACTCTGAAATAAAAAAAAAACCTCAGTAAACATTTCTGGGATGCTGTACAACCAAAATAGATTTATATAATTATGACATCTCATTCTGAGGTTGATTCCAAATTCTTCATTCATGACCTGTGAAAGGACTCTTGTTCTTACAGTCAACATTAAGGCATACCCAATTCCTATAAGAAAATTATTCTAACAATTGCTTTTGGATATTAAAGTTCCATGACTATAAAATATATCCTACATAGACATGTGCACACAAACTTGCACATTAGCAAACATAAACCACAAGTATACTCTTATGTGTAAGCCACAGATTTTTTGAAATCAGTTTTACATGTTCCAAATAACTTCTTTTTACGGTGTCGATGCTATAGTCAGACAAATGACTTCCCAAGATATATGTTCATTTTCATGCGTTAGAAGAGAACATTATAGAATACTATGTGGACCATAAAATGATACAGGTAAAAATCAGTTGAATGACGGTGTGTTAATTCTCTGTCTTATGAAACTTTATACACTGGGAAAAGCCAGTGAGATTTCATTTAATTCTTCTCATCATAGTCATTCTTTATGTCCAATTCCAGGAAAGGTTAAAGCTATTACAGAGAACTGTAAGAATCTGTCTTATCCCTTTGCTGCTGTGGAATCAAGTTAATGTATTAAATCTTGCTGTAGCAGGTGAACCATTGGCTAAGATTGTTAATCTCTTGTCAGACCATATTTTCTGGTGGCAGCATTAATTACTACAATGGAATCTGACCTTCAGGCTGAGAAATCTTCTCCTAACAGATAAATAGAATGCTTTTTAAAAAAATGTTAGATGATGAATCCAGGTTTTTGTATTATTTACCATTGATCATGTGAAAGATGACGCCCAAAATGTTCAAATGTAACTGCTTAGAATTTTTGCCTGTAACAAAGTAAAACAAAACAAACAAAAAATAGAGCCACTTGGGCTTTTCTTCTATAGACCTTGATTCTTTTTATTTTTTGTACCAGAGGAACCCAGGGGTGCTTAACCACTAAACCACATCTGCAGCCTTATTTTTTTTAATGTTTTAAATTTTGAGAAAGGGTTTCACTAAGTTGCTCAGACTGGCTACAAATTTGTGATCCTCCTTCCTCAGCCTTCCACATCATTGGGATTACAGGCATGCACCACCAAGCCCAGCTAGACTCTTACTTTTCGATTTTCAATAGGTATGGGGCTCACTCATTTGATATCACCCTATGGTGCAAAGAGAAGGCTCAAATAATCTGGGTGGGAGAGTGTCTCTGTCTATAGTTGTGCCTTGAAAGATATGAGTTGAGTTCCTAAAACAGATAAGTATTAGGAGGGTGGGCTCATATTTTAATCTGACAGAAAAGCTTATGATGAAAAGACCAAGTATACCTAAGTAGCATAGAATTAGGGGACACAGCAGACATGTGAGTAAAAGTACCTTTGGCCACCAAAAACTTTATGGTTCACAGCCGTTCTGCAAACCTCTAAACCACCAATCAACTATGCAGCAAGGAACCTGGAAAGATGACACTCTTTTTTTTAAATATTTTTTTTAGTTGTTAATGGATCTTTATTTTATTTATTTGTATGTGGTGCTGAGAATTGAACCCAGTGCCTCACACATGCTAGGCAAGCGCTTTACCACTGAGCCACAACCCCAGTCTCATGGAAAGAAGACATTCTTCATACAGAAGACCAGTATACAGTTTGCTTTAGGAGCTCCCAATGGCTGACTCCCAATTGCAAAGAAAACTCTTTGTAAACTCTACCACAAACAGCTTAAGGTGTCCTATTTTAATGGTTTATTAAAAATATTATGAAGCTTAAACTGTCCATAAGCAGCATACAGATTCCAATAGTAAAGAGAAAGGCAGCCTTCTTTCTGGTCCTCACACTGTTGGAACATACTGCTAAAGGAGAAACTGTCTTATTAAGATAAGGACGATGACTGAGTTAAGACTTCTAAGCCCAGGTAAATAAATTCAAGGCCTAGGACCTATGAAAGTTTTGTTTTTTTCAGGTCTAGCAATAAAAACTTTCATCGATAACAACCAGCACCATGTTGAAGAGATAGATATAAGGTCATAAATCTTCATGAAGAATCTGAGACTAATACTATAACTCTTGTCAGTTCAATGTCTGCAACATTTCTCACCTAGTCTAGCTTAAGTACTTCTAGCACCAAAAACACTCTGTCAGGTTGGAACCAACTGTCTATTTAGTTACAGGCTTTTCTTTGCTTGTGTGACCTTCATTTTAAATTCAAGTAATCTTCTTCTGGAATGTAGGCACTGACAAGATGGAAGAGGGCAACACAAAGAGAATATCTGGGGAAAGCAGAGGAGGCAATTATCTGTATTATGTCCACACAGTCTAAAGGAGTCATCCAGATGATTTTCTGTATTGATTCATTTTGATGAAAAAGTCTGCCTTCATAAAAGTAGAATCTTAAAAGTGATGTGTTCTCAATACACGAGCAGATATAAATAATGTTGAAATAAGCATTTACTTACTAATTTCCAATTTTAAGTTTGAAGGAAAATTAAACTTCTCAGAAACAAAGAAATATAACTGGTTAGTCTTTTTACCTCTTCCCCTTGAGTATATTCTTTTCCCAAATAGCCTTTTTTTTTTTTTTAAAAAAATTGCCTTTAGACCACATTTATATAATTTAGTAGCATGGCAAGATTCATTAAAGAGTTCCAAGTCAGCTTTCACTTTTTTTCCTTTATCATCGATTTTATAGAATTGAAAAGACTTCTTCACACTTGATTCTCAAACTCATATTCCATCAAAAACTGAAAACTGGGCCACAAATTAATTCAGTTTAATTTACCATTTGTCAAATTAATCCTCTCACCAACAAATAAAAACAAAACTCAGTTGATCTCACTTAGCTTCTATGAATAAACATGGAGGATTTTAAAAGGTATTTTAAGTGCTTTCTTAAACACAGCTCAGACCAACTCACGCATCCAAGCAGATTATTCCCTTCTTGCCTAAACATCATTGAAAATGGCTCAAGTGGGCTAGAACAGGACAATTATAAAACTCTAGAATGTAAAGTTGATACAGCTGGTAAGGTGACCTCAACACAAACCATGACAGGAAAGCCACAGGAAAACAAAAAATTTTCTCAAAGAGCACAAAGAACCAATCATTTTCACTCAGTTCTTTTACCTACCTGTTTTCTCTCATCCTCTTTTCCCATCTCACCTTAACCCTTTATAACACAATGTACTCCACTCATCAATCTGACATCAACAAGAGCTCATCCACATAAACATCCCGACTCTCACACTTTGCCCCTGAAGTCATCCATGTCTTACAGTCTTCAGAACATAAATTTCAGGTGTTAAAATTAGCTGGACTTCAGAAGCTAACAAGAAATCACTTCCTTACCCCCTCAGTCCTGTATTCTCACACGCATTCCCAGCTCCAGTCCTCTTGAAGATGACTCCAATGATCCTCCTAACACTCAAATAAAAGTTACAACTTCTACAGTGAGAGGTGGGGAACACTCAAGGAACAGTCATGCAATGCAAGATATACCTGAGGCTGCATACTCCATTACCTTCCTGAACAACTGCTATACAGAGGCAGAGTGTCAATGTGGAGACTGGGTGTGTGTTCTGCAAAGTTGTGGCCACACTGCCCATCATGCCTCTCACAGACCAAGTACCTTAGGGCATTTTGAGACCCCCAGCACAATTACTGGGAGCCTCAAATATAAGGTGCTCAGAATGATGGCTAGACCTTTGCTAGGAGACAAATTCTGGTGATGAGAACAGTTTCCATTGAATGGGTGTTTTGTTCTTTCTCTTTCCATTGTGATTTTTTTGGCTGCGGGTTTAATGACTCCTGAGGCGATGATGACTTGTTCTAAGTAATACAGCCTGCCAGGCACAGTACCCAAGGATCCAGCTGGAATCATACTGGAAGTTTGCTCCAGATAACAACAGTATATCACCTGGGAGCATGTCAGAGCCAATGGTGACCCAGACCTGTCTAGAAGTTAGGTGTCCGGAAACACATTTAAAAAATTTTATGTTCTGCCTCTCTAGTGTGAGATCAAGCAAAGACTTCAAAAGCACAGGTATTAGGATGATGGCAACACTAGAAACAGAAAATAAAATTTATAATAACTAATTTTATTTCAAGGAAAATGGCATGTAACACTGGTGAATATCTGGCATTAACACTGTGGCTTAACTTCCCCTTAGTTTTATGATGATTTATATAGTTTTTATTAGAAAGTTTATCCCAATGATGTATGTAGTTGCCATTTCTGAATACAGGAATAATTTTAAAGTTGACATTTTTATATTTTTTAAAATAACCAACATCCTCAAGCTTAATAATATTCACATCCCCAAATCTGTATTTTTTCTGTCTAGACAAATTACAGTAAGAAAACTTCAGCAAGAAAATGAATAAGCACCTTTGAGAATTAAATGCTAGCCTTATTATGTGATTAGTGCTTATTTTTCACAAAATCGGTTGCCAACTGATCCCATGATATGAGGGACCTCCTAGTACCCAAAGAATAATATCCCTATTTGTGTAAAAGAAATCATTTGTATATTGGGTCATTAGAAGCATTTTGCTATAGAAGAAGTTCATAGCCATTAAAGATTAATTTACAGCTCTCAGAAAGATAGGTGTAGCTGGTTGTGGTTTCTTAAGCAATTTACATGGTTTTTCTTCTAAACAGAAGCAATGCAAAACACTCACTGACTATTGGTTTGAGAAATAAACTTTTCTGGCTGGCAAATAAATTGCACTGTTAATTTTGAGGAGGAAAAAAAAACATCTTTTTTTTCTTATAAAATACCAAGGCAATCTCAAGAAATCCATAATCACAATTAACTCTGCACAGCGAGAGCATCTTCTTCTACCAAGGACAGCTCCAGGGTGTTTTCATTAGTGCTGGTTTTCATCCTGAAGTTGAAAGAACCATAGAGTTTTGCAGATTCTTTGGAAGATGCAAATCTGTTTCGACGATAGAGCTCCCCCTTCCACATAGACATCATTAACAAACAAGACAGAACAACCCCCCCAAGCGTGAGGAGGCAGAGCCCAGCAATCACACAGCGGTCCAGATGAGCCCCCAGCCTTGCACTCTCCTTCTCTAGACGTTCCATCTCCCTGGCTGCCACGCTGTTGGGATCCACTGTCACTTCTCGTGGGACAATGTAAGAAATGATCACCAGCAAAATGCCGGTGACCAAGAACAAGATGGCGCTGATGAAACCATAGTCAATTGACTTCCCTGAAGATGTGACTTCTGAACTGGTGTCATCTTCATCTTCGGAGATCAAGGATATGGCAGCCTCATGAGACCATTCACTTGGATTTCCCCAGCCAAGGTCTTCAGGATGATTACTGCCTTTTGCTGAAGGGGACCTCCGGTTCCGCTGCTCCAAGTTGACATTCTCATCCACATAAGTAAAAGATGTTTCTAATTCTTGGCTGCAGCAGTTGCAGACTTTCCGTTCTGCTGTTATTTGGGTGTTCCCTGAGTCAAGGGGTCCTGGTGGGAAGAAGTTTGGCTGAATAACACTGTCTTGCAGACAGGAGGAAGGGGATGCTGGAGAAGGGCTAAGTCTAGACCCTTCCATCCCAGATAATCTTGGTGTAGATGTACAGTGTTTTTGACAGCAAAGAGCAGCCCTGATGGCTGCTACATCTACAGGGTCACCAGGAAGCCCTCCTGAATTATGGTCCATGGCATCGCACAGGTCTGCCTGGCTGCTCTTCTTAGAAAGGTAATGGAGCTCCATGGGAGCTAGTTAAATCCCCCAGCAGCTTCTAGAAATTCTGCCAACAGCAACAAATTTAGGTAAGAACCCAACAGGAATTAAGATCGTACTGCCAGGAGTGCTGCTTCCAAAGTCCCCATTTTCTTTGCAGCCCTGGCTGTCAGCACCTCAGCCCCAGTTCCTCCTAAAAGGGGCAAAAGAAGGGAAAGAGAGTCCCAAGTAGCAGAGAAGTATGAAAAGGGCAAATCTTCTCACTTGCTACAGGGGTTAACACTGAGAAACTCAGGTCAGGGTAGAAAAGGAGCACTGAGGAAGTGGCAGTGTCTCTGGAAAAAGCATACTGCTGTCACCAAGCCAAATTTATCCAAGGACTCACACATTCCTGTGACAGGATCCCTCAAATGAGGAGTCAGGTTTCCTGCAGAAAGACACAAATGAGAAAGACAGGGGCCCTTTTTAAGAGCTGCTGAATTTCTGGAGGACTTGGGGAAGCACAGATTTATTAACAATTCAATTAGATTGCATGTTTACACTCTAGTTCAGAACACATTCTGGTATCTGGTACAGATTAGCTTTAAGAATATATATTCCTATCTGTTGGGTTCCATTGTAGAAGGGGCTCAGCATGTTTGACTCAGTTAACTCTGAAGTGGGTGAAAAGACTGGCTTACTTTGCCACCTCTTCCAACCTTACACTTCATATATCCAATAAGCAAGTCACATGGCCCCAGGCCCTATATTTATAAGATCATGTACTTCCACTTGTTCATGTACTTCCACTCTGCCCCATCCCCTTTCGGGTAATATGTGCTGGTCCCCAAAGTGTGTAGATCACACACTGCATTGTGATCCTTGCAAAAAATGCCATGAGCTAGCCCACTCCTACACACACACACACACACACACACACACACACACACACAGCCTGCATGTCTGCTCTTCCTGTATACTGCACCTCAGTGGGAGAGTTTCTTCTCCCTCCCCTACAATTTGCTAACAGACAAGCACAAGAAACTGATCATCCAGAAATTTTTACAAACCCAATCTAGAAGTAAAATAAATGACAAATGGTAAGCCCACAGAGTTCTGTCAGGCAAATAGGTGAGAAGCTATTTCCAAGAGTATCTGGAAGTTTACATCCATGACATTCCCTCACCTCTGCTGCAGCATAGAACCTTTGAGGGACAGAACTTTGGGCAGAAAGTCACCTGTCCATCCTTCTCTTGTCTCTATCACCTTTCGGACACATAATAATTCACTTTTCACAATCACTAAATAAATATAGGAGTTTTAACCAAGGGCTCCTTTTATTTTGATTCCAAACCCTGGGTGCTAACTGATTTTAACTAGAAGGCTAAGACTTATTATTCTTCAAAATCCACAGCCCCAACAGCTCTTAAGAGGCTCAGACACTGGGCACCTAAGGTCAACCTGGCAACTTAAGGCATAAGCACACAGTTCCTAATATCCATTAGAGATCTGTTTTTGTTTTCAAACAAAAACTTGTCTCCTATTAGAGTTTCTCTGCACCTAAAACAAAAACAAAAAAACCACTAAGTGCAAGGAAACCACAAGTGAACCAAAGCTTTCCTTTAGCAAGTGGACAAATCTCTACTGAAAGATCCCTCAATGAGGAAAGTGCTGGTAAAAGCTTTCATCAATTACTGAAAATGAGGACTCGTCTTGCAGATCCCTCAGGCATTAGGCACTCTGATTAACCTTTGGCACAATTAACTAATCACATTAATACTACTTTGGATAAAATCGCCAGGGTTCCTTATAGGACTTCCAATATGTAACAAAGAGGGAGAGGAATATCCACTCTTGCCTCTATGCCTCTTAGAAGGAAGACTCTGTTGGTTTCATGAGAGATACACTAGCTGTACAGTCGATTTCCTTGAAACCCGGAATCCGGGGCTTCCATTCTCTGGGGAGAATGGATAATCCCAGGGGGCCAGCAAAAGGTCTTTTCTTCTGTCCTCTCCTTTTTTCTCTGGTATCTTTTAAAACACAGAACAGAAGACTGCACCTTAAAGCGAGGGGACAGCACTTTCCCTCATCTCTTTGCCGTCAATGAAAGGCATAAAATTTGCTTAGAAACTGACTGGGGTGAGGCTGTTCTGGAGGAAACGACCTCGGGATGCGTCCTGAGCGCTCTGTGCGGGGAAGAACCAGCCGCAAGCAGCAGAGTCCCCCGCCGGCGCCGCGGGATCAATCAATCCATTCCGGGTGAAGTCTGCGCCCACCTAAGGCACCCTCAGTCGGGCTGTGTCCGCCGAGGTCCGGTAGGGGAAGCAGGAACCTAGTGCTGGGAGTGGGGACACGCGCCCCTGCTCCGCTATGCTGCCGGCTCTCTGCTTCATGCCCGGCGCCTTCTCCCCATCCCGCTCTCCGCCACTCACCTTCCGCCTTGGCCACCCGGTGCGGCTCCAGCACTGCGCGCACGCCGGTGCACGACTCTAGGAGAAAGTCCCCCACTCCCCAGCCGCGGCACTTGTAGCCTCGGCGCGCCGCTCGGCTCCGCCGGGTGGGCAGCACCCGCCGAGCCGGGTGGGGCGGGGCGGGGCGCTCCCTCTTGCTGAGCATCCCGGGAGTTGTAGTTCGAAGGCAGCCTCTGCATGCCTCCCGTCTCCGTTTCTCTTCCAACGGCTCTGTTTTGCCTCTTCCTGAAGACTAACCAGTTGCTCTCTGCCTCTATACTCCTGCCTGGTACCCCAAAAGAAGTGCTGGCTTTTAAGCTAAGAATGGGCTCTTCCAGCCTCAAGGATTGTGAGGATGGCATAAGAGGAAAGAAGTCTATGTTTAGTTCCAACTGTGTGTCAAGTAATTTGCATATTTTGTCTTATTTAATGGTCAGAACAAATCTTTGAAATAGATTTTATTAATCCTCATTTTGCAGAAGAGGAAGCAGGTTCTGAAAGATGCAGTGCGTCATACGAGGTTACAAAGACATTAAATGGTAGCTTCTAAAATAGCATCCAGGAGTGAGGTTCCAAAGTCATAACCTTTCTCACAAAATCAAGAGAAATGTGACCATTGAGGGTACAGGATTGTCTCGTTCATCAGTTTATTACCTCTGCTTAGTGCAGTATCTGGTATCTGTTGAATTTGTGGATAATAATGACTCAAAACCACAATTAGCATAGTTTTCATTATTGCCAGGCTTTCTTCTATGTGCTCATAACTCATTTAATGCTCACAATTAATTTTTAAGGTACTGTAAAAATTAAAAAGAGAAAACTTAAAAAGAAGTAATTTGTCTAGGTCACGCAACTGCAGACTCTAAACCCAAACAGAATCTAAGTATTTATGTTATATTGAGAAAAAATAAAAGAAAGATCAGAAGGCAAGAGTAGGGGTAAGGAGTAAGGGAAAACTGTAGGTGGAAGCCTCTGAGCTGTGGTTCCTAGGCTAGGGAAAGGCAGTTTCTTTGAATTATAACTCTCTTTCGCTCAGAGTGGACTGCAGCAGCTAAAACTAAAGACCCAGGATATTTTTAGTTTGAGAGTCCTCTCCAATTTTTTTGGCATCTCTTTTGGGGTGATTCCAGGGTCATTTATTGTTTCCAGTTAAGGGGAGCACAGATGGATTACAATACTGAAGACAATTTGTTGCTTGTGAGTAGCCATTGCTGCTTGCTTTCAAGAGATAGACTAGATTCCGGTAATGACAAATTTTGTTCCTTTGTCTTTATGCTGGATAGAAGTCACAGTCTCATGACTCCAAGGACTTTATAATCCAACATTTTAAAAGTCTTTTTTTCCCATGATTCTCTTTTTAGTCAGTTATGCTCTTTTGTTCATGACATGTGTATTATGGTTTCTTTTGCTTGTTACACTGTTCTTCAGTGAGAATATCCTTTTTCTGGTTCTCTATTCCATTTCCCCTTCAATGACTAGCTTGTAGAGACTCATTTACAGGGGTACATTCTATTCTTAGTACTACGTATTCAAAAAGGACATAAAGACACTGTAGGACATCCAGAAGAGTGCAACTAAGATGCTGAAAAAACTTGAATTTATGTTGTACAAAGATATGCTGGAGGAACTTGAAGTATATATCCAAAGGAGGAGACTTAGAGAAAACAAAAACTAGTTTCATATAATTTAAAGTTAACAAAATACAAAAGGAGTTTTACATTGCAATTTAAAAAGCAAAAGCAAACCCAATAATATTAATGTTATTTATTACAACTATTATGTTATCATCTTGGATTCTTAACATTATCTTTGTAAAGAAGACAATATAATTGTATTCATTTTACAATATAGAAACTGAGTATTAGTAACTGTCAGAGACAAGATTCCAAGTTGGATCTGCCTGGTTCCAGAACCTGGGTTTCTTTGCTTCTTTGCCACCACACTGTACTGAGCGGTGCTCCACAATCTTTCACAGCAGAGCACATGTAAGAGGCAATAGGTTTATAGCACTGGGATAAGCATAAAAGGTTTCTCCTATCCATTGTGCCAGAGCTGTGGCTTCCCCAGGCCCTACAGGACAGATTGGAAGCTAAAAAGGTATTTAAGGCAGAATATCTACAATACTCTGGAGCACCTGAGGATGTTGGGACACAGGGTCTGAGAAGCTCTGGATAGCACCATCTGTTTAATATGGAGGGTGATTTGGAACTTATTATAAGGAATGACATTATTTCTGAGAATTTAACATAGAATACCTCATAAAAGTGAATTCTCTATCACTGGAGAGAATTGAAAACAAAAACAAAAAAAGAGGCATTTATTAGGAGATTGTAGAAGGAATTCATTTTGTTTAGTTAGAGGACCTCTCTGCTGCACTAATTTTAATTTTCATCTCTTTTTTCTTTTAAGTCAACTTCAATGATTCTACTTCCTATGATTTTTACTAGGAATTTTTCAGCACTGAATTTTTTTTATGTTTATAAACAGTGTCTTGAGTCATTTCTTAAATAGCTAGGTAACTATTAAGTTTTGTTTAACTTCTCACTCAAGTAGTTAAACATCTAATGTAATTGTAAGCTCTTTAAGGTCAACATATACTTGTTAAACATCTTATTACCTCCAGCAGAAAGTCCAATATTTACACTGAATACAGTAAGGGAAAATGTCTAGGCTGAATGAGGCTTTAGATGATCTGTCATTCTGTTTCACTTCCTACTTCTGTATATAGCACACTTGCTTCTACATATTGTTTAGCATTTAAAAAATCAACATTATGCCAATGTACTAAAGAATTTTCTTCAAAATTTTGCAGAAGAAATAAATAAAGGTTGACTGGCTGAGGTCATGGAAAGAAAAGCTCTGCAGAAAATACCACTCGCTGGAAAAATCTGTCTGTCTGTCTCCTGCAGGTCCATGTCTGTAACTTTCCTCAAATTCTGAGCCAAGGACCTTTTTTCAAGAACTTTTCTTGTCCAACATCCTAAACTTCTCATTACTTTCCTAATTGGCATGATAGTGGCATAATATATTTCCTTTTAAGCTGTCAATTGACATAAACAAAAAAGTATTTCATGTATATTTTATATTGCTTGCTATGTGATTTCTCTTCCCAGATAAAATTTAGGTTCCTTGAGAAGCAACATATTCTATTATTATGAAGCTATATATCATGCAACATGTGGTAAACAGTAATTCCTTCTTAATATATACTTATTACATAATTAACACTAGTAAAAGGACATATTAAGAAGCTACATAATGATTCTGATCATTGATTTTAAGACCTTATATTTTTCTATTTACTTGTACTTTAGTAATGAAGGAGTTAATTGGTGGGAAAATGGATCCTTAGAAATAAATTTACCATAAAAATTAAGGGAAGTACTGGAACTTCAATAACCAGTCTCTTATAATATTTATTGAGGATATTTTTCAGTTTTCTCTGTCCTACAATAACAATTAGGAATAATGATAAATAAATATCCCATGTGGATGGAGTGTTATTAAAAGATAAGTCCTAGGAAAGTAAGGAAGATATTTTTGGGTAGGCTGGATAGAGAACCAGTCATTTAATGGGAACAGTAGAAGAAATGTGACTTACTTCATACCCCAAGTTGGTGCTTCTAAGCTACGGATGAATGAAAATGCTCATCATTTAAAGCAATGATGATCTTGTTTATTAACAAGATTCTAGTAATAAAAATGTTATGTTTAATTTAGAAGGTTTGCTTTCAATAATAGCATTTGCAATGGTGATGTACGTATGTTAAATAAAGTGGCTGGATATAGATAGGGGAGAAGTACTGAGACAAGTTGAGAGCAAGTGTTTTTCCAAAAGGAGACCTTGCCTCCTTATCACTCAACCTGAATTTTTCTTAAATGAATTCAGATAGCAATAAAAGTCAGACATCCTAAATTTTATTCAAAAATTCAAAATCTTAAACACTGTATGAGTCAAAGAAAACTATGAGAAACATTTGCTTCTAGTAACAGCAGCCTAGGTAATTTAGACCCACCCACTGTTGAGGATAACTATAAAATATGGACAAAAAAAAATATAAAAATCACTTCTCTGAAGAGATGCAAAGTTAACAAAATAGAGAAACACTGCTGGGCTAGGATCCAAAGAAGAGAGGCTCAGAGAGGCAAATCAGGAACTTGGAGCTTCTTTTAACTTGGAGATGTTAGATGATTCATAAGGGGACAGTTAAGTGTCTGAGAGGCTAAGGAGAGTAGGAGTTGGGGTCTTGAGACCACCGAGGGAAGAAGCCACAATACATATGGCTCATTCCCTAAACTTTGGGCTGGAATTCTGAAAGGCTTCATCCTAGAAGTATGAACTAGGCACTAGGCAGGCCTGGGCAGGGGACGTTCTCTACTTGTGAATGCCTTTAAAATCTAGCCAGAGTGATTTCAGAATGCCAGGATACCAGGTGCCTGGCAGAATAAAGTGTGAGCAGTCTCTGAAAAAAAAACCATGCTATCATTTCAAACTTATTTAACCAATAGTTTTGCAAATACACTGATTTGAAAAAAAACATAAAAATTTACTTCTGTAATGGTCACATATTACATGAGTTCATATATATGTGTGTGTGTGTGTGTGTGTGTGTGTGTGTGTATAAATGTTTTATATAGCAACATTTTATATATGCACATATACATATATAAAAGCATTTTAAAAGTAACAAAATTATAGATATGGATAATAAATTGATGGTGGCTGGAATTAGGGATAGTGAGCAAATGAGTGCAATCATAAAGGGTAAATGAGGGAGACTTTTGTGGTCATGGAAAAGTTCTGTACTTCAAATTTAAAAAGTACAAGTTGCATCTAAAAGGTCAATATGTGTATGGAAAGGGATATATCATCACTGGTCATAAGGGAAATGCATTTTGAAACCACAGTTAAATACCAAACCATACTCACTGGAATGGATAAAGAGGCAAAATAATTGACAATATCAAATTTTTGGTAAAGTATGAAGCAACTGGAATCTCATAAACTGTTGATGGGAATGTAAATTGGCATAATCACTTTGGAAAACTCTTTGCCTTACCCACAAAAGTTAGCTGTGACCCAAGGATTTCACTCCTAGATTGATAATCTGCA